TTTTTAATTATTTTTTATTTTTTTAAAGACAATTTTAAAAGAGGAGCTCTTATATATTGGTTCTGGGCACCCTAAGGTGTGCTGCGTGTTGCAGTTGGGCTGTAGAAAGAGCCTCTGGCAGGACCAGATGTTTACGGCCTGTGTGGAGCAGCCTGGCAGGGTATGGGTTGATTGTGACAATCTGTTAAGGCGATACTGCCGCGTATGTTGGGTTCTCAGCTTAACTTTGAATCTTTTCACTTGTGGGTGTTTTGTTGTTTCCTCAGTATAAAAACAGGAAATCACAGATACTGTGGACTAGGTGGATGGCTTAGAGCTGGGAGACCATACATGCAGTCTTCTCCATTTCTCGGCTAGGGAGCTGAGGCCTGGGGTCTTGAAGCTAGCGAATGGAAGAGCTGAGACTCTTGATCCTGCTGCTAGGTGCAGGGCCTTCATCTGCATGGCCTGCCACCCCTCGACCTTTCAGAATACACCCTTCAAAGGGGATTGTATTGACACAAATTTAAAAAAAGCAGTGTATTTGTAGTTGCCAACATGTTTCCTAGTTGTTACTTTCAACTTGCAGTATATATCTGTGTTCAGGTATTGAGGAAATGAAATTTAACTTGATAAACCTGTTGCTTACTCTTCTCTTTGCTTTTTCAGGAAACCTAAAGGTTTTTCGGGATGATGGTGTGTTTTGGGTGACTTTCTCTTGTATCACTCTCTTCATTCCAGTAGTTTTCTTGGGCTGCCTGAGAATCGTAAGTGTTTCATGAAAAGTTAGGTTTATTCATTCTGTTGTCCTGGACCTTCAGCCGATCCCTCAATGTGGGCATCAATTTGCATGTTTTATTCACTAGAGAGGGTTGTAGGGCTAACTGCATTGGGTGACTGCTTCTCCATAATTTTGTCGCTATGTGAAGGGAAAGGAAGTTGTCCAGAAGATTCTCTCCCAGTGTCCCCTTCCCAAAACAAAGTGTTGCCTGGCAACAGAGTTCAGCAGGGCGAGCGCAGAAGGCAGTCTCAAGTCCAGCGCACTGATCCCAGGGAGCATTCGCTTCAGCTGTATCCAGCATGGGTCTTCCTATAATGAGCTCTTAGTGGTGAAGTTGTTTTATAGGCAAGGTGATGTTTTAAATTTTTATTTATTTATTTATTTATTTGAGAGAGAGAGAGAGAGAGGCCAGCTCAGCCCACCAGGGGGCGCGGCTGGCTGGCATGTGGTGCTGGGGGATTGAACCGCGGTCTCTGATGCTTTTGCTAAGCTTGTTCTAAGTAGGTGCTTTAGACCACTGAGCCATCTCTCCAGCCCCAAGGTGATGTTTTGTTTTGTTTTGTTTTGTTGTTTTTTGGCGGAACCAGGGATTGAACTCAGGCCCTTGCGCTTGCCAGGCAAGCACTTATTCTACTGAGCCATCTCCCCAGCCCCCAAGGTGATGTTCTGTTGTACAGTACAGTCACGCATTGCCTAGCAACAGGACTACTTTCCAAGAATTGCATCAACAGCATATGCAAACATCACAGTGTTCTTATACAAACAAAGGGGGCTATGGCATTACTGGATACTGTCTATAACCTTGTGGGACCCTCATATCTTCTATCATTCCCTGAAACATCCTTATGTGGTATAGAATTTTACAGTAAGCAGATAAACTCGTCTTAAGAACTCCCGGTGCATGTGAAGGTGGAAGGTTTTAGTTTATCTGTGTCAGCTCTAAAGCACGGCCCCTCTTCCCGTGTCCTTTGGGATCTGAAGTGATCCCCTGCAGTGGAGGCCACGTTCGTTCGGTGTCCTGTTTCAGCCTTGCTCTTCTCCTGCAGCTGAACATCCTGACCTGCGGCGTGGTCGGCTCCTACTCGGTGGTTTTGGCTGTTGACAGTTACATGTACACAAGCCTTTCTTACATCACTCTGAACGTTCTCAGGAGAGCACTCAACCCAGATTTCCGCAGAGCTTTCACAAGTGTGCCTTCTCAAACTAACGGTAAGACTCTTACATTCAAAAACCAGGTAATGCTTAAATAGGAGTATTGACCTTTGCATGCTAACAAGAGCACTTAAAAAAAAAGAAAAGAAAGAAAAAGGGAGCTGGGGTGACTTAGAAAGGAAGAGACACATAATAACATGCTAAACAGCTATTAAGTGATTTTGGCTAAGAAATTGCTAAGCCTGGATTGCCTTGGTTTACTAGTTGATTCTCAAAGGGGAAAAAACTAGAGGACAGTGAAGATGCTTAATATTCCAGGGTTGGGCGAAGGGCGAGGGAGGCGAATGAGCCCCTGATTTAAATTTTAAGTCCTTTAGAATCAGATGAGTCTTGTTTCTCTTCTTTAAGGAAGCGGGACATTTGGTACTTGAAAGTGAAAGTGATTTTTCAATTAGTGTCTTGTTTCCTCTGTTGTAAAATTTTATCCGTTACAGATTTTCCTTTGACTTTTTAGAGGGGAATAAAATGACCACTATACTAAATGTTCATGAAGTCAGTAAGTTATGTTGACTTCAGAAATGTTAAGATCTGGGGCTGGTGAGATGGCTCAGTGGTCTAAAGCACCTACTTAGAACAAGCTAAGCTAAGCAAAGCACAGGGACCGCGGTTCAATCCCCAGCACCACATGCCAGCCAGCCCCGCCCCCTGGTGGGCTGAGCTGGCCACACACACACTAAATAAATAAATAAATAAATATTAAAAAAAAAAAAGAAATGTTAAGATCTGAAGAGTGTGAAAGCATGTTTCAGTATTGAGAATGCCCTGAGTAGACACAACTGGGATCCCTGAGCTGTTTAGGGCCAAGTGTTTTCTTTGGGTAAGAGGATGATGATGGAGACCTTGAGATCCATGTGCCTTGGGATTTTTGAGTACAAGTAAGAATGCATTAGAAATTGAGGACAATCTGTGGAACTTGCTCATGCATCCCCAGGTAGGTTTTCTGCATGTGAGTGAGGTTGGGTCCCTCAGAGACTGGGCTGGGGAGGAAGTGAGCTTGGCAGGCTCTGGTGTCCCACAGCACACCAATGTGGCTATAATCACCACGTTCTTCCTCCAGCCCCCAACAACTGCCGCTGGGCACAGGTTGGTCACCTAGTGCTGCGATGCCAAGGATCCAGACGATCGGGGCTTTAATGATTGGCTTGGACATCTGGACACCTGGAATAGAAAATTTTTAGTTTCAAAAATAAAACTGCAGGGCCAGCCAAATAGCTCAGCAGATCAGCAGATTAAAGCATCTGCAAGCAGGCGCAGGGGCCGGGGGTTCAATCTCTGGACCTGCCATGCTGGCCCCATCATCAGGGCAGGCTGAGATGGCAATTGAGACTGGGTGTGGTGGCACGCACCTATAAACCCAGCTCTTGGTGGAGTCTATAAACAGGCATATCACTACAAGTCTGGTCTAGTATTGAGACCCTGAACACCCTGTAGACCCTTCCCTAAAATACAAAAAAAAAAAAAAAAAAAAAAGTGCAGCTTTCTTGTTCTTTGATTGTGTATGTTAGGTTTTAGAATGCACAAGTTGAAATGACCCTTCTCTGCTGTGTTTTTAGACTTTGTCATCCTGGCGGTATGGGCTATGCTGGCTGTAAGCGGAATCACGTTACAGATACGGAGAGAAAGGGGGAGACCGCCTTTCCCACCTCACCCTTACAAGCTGTGGAAGCAAGAGAGAGAGCGCCGAATAACGAACATTCTGGATCCCAGCTACCACATCCCTCCACTGAGAGAAAGGCTCTATGGCAGATTAACTCAGATCAAAGACCTCTTCCGGAAGGAGCAGCCTGCAGGAGAGAGGACTCCCCTGCTTCTGTAGAGGGGTGCAGGCTTGGGCGCGGAATCTTGGCTCTGGAGTTCATGCCCAGGTGGCTTCAGCGGTGTGTGGTGCAGTCCCGACAGGTCAGGCTGGCATGATATTGTGGTGTCTTTGTTCATAGAAGGTGAGGGTACACTAGGCAATGAGGGTGAGTCTAAGTCAGTGAAGGACAAAGGCAACCAAAAAGTCGGTGGTAGGGGGGCTCTTCCTTATTCCAACTACTGAAGAAATTATCTTTGGGTTTATAAATATGTAATTGATGTATTCCATTAATACACCAAAAATTTAAAAGTGGAAAGCAGTGGTTCTCCCCTTGGTGTTTCTTGAAGTTCTTGAACAAGTCCTTCCCCTGGCTTTGTCCACACTTGGGGAGGGAAAGGTATTTAAGCATTATATTGAGGGCTGGGGAGATAGCTCAGGGGTATAAGTGCTTGTCTGGCAAGGGCAAGGTGCTGAGTTCGATCCCTGGTACCACCAAAAAAAAAAAAAAAAAAGTATTCTATTGGATATTTGCCTTTCCGTTTGCATACAGAGGGATTGATCTCAAGCCCTTGAATGTCAGAATATGAAAAGAGAAGTAACTTTCTTATATAAGTAATCTAACTACTTAGTTGACATTTTTTTTTTAAATCAACAAAGTACCTATGTTCCAATATTTAAAATTTTTAATTGTGGTAAAATACACATTAAACTTGCCAACTTATTTTGAGTGTAGAATTCAATGGGATCTTTTGATTTTGCCTTTTGTTGCTTTAAGCACTAATTCTTTAAGTGGATAAATCACTTCTGTTGTTTGACAGTAGGTCAGTTCTACATAGATGGTAGAATGTTTATATAGATAATTTATGTTTCAAATGAAAGGCTTGTTGTTTTTGTTTTTTCCTTTCAGGGTCTCTACAATAGAGTTTAAGCTGCATTAGGTGGCATGGATCATGTTTCATTTCTAGGAAATAAATTGATCTCTAGCTTTAATGTATAGTGCTGTTAACAACCTTTGAAAAATTCATACTTCATCATCCTGTCGGCGAAAGCAGTGGTGTTAGCATTAACCTAGAATGGTTTGCAATGACAGCTTTCCTGTCATTCAGGCCTGTGTGCTGTGTTTTGAAGGGATGAGGAGACCGTCATCCGGGATGCTGGGCCTGACCTACTTTTAGTCAGGACCAGTTTGGAATCTGTAAGGAGCGCTCTCAGTCTGATATCCTTGTTTCCCCACAAGAAGACCCTGATGCCCTGGGCTGCATCCCTGCTGCTGACTGAGAGAGCACTGGCTTGTGAGCCAGTTCCCCTCACTAGCTGGGGTCCTTGTGGCTGGGACACATACATGTGTGAGGTAACCACTACTTAACTGATGCTGCTTTTTAGGGTTTTTTCAAAGTACAAAGAAGAGTACAGAAGTTTCACATACCTGGAGCAATCTTATCTTCTGCTTTTGAAAGTGTTTTGGGGAAGATAAAGCAAAATGAGAAAATACAAAATGAACTGTTTTTGCTTTGAAAAATTCAGGGCAGATATCCATTTACTACTCTATAATTCTTACTTTTATAAACCTTGTCCAAAAAGTTTGACTGGGGCCGGCGAGATAGCTCAGCAGTCTAAAGTGCCTGCTTAGGCAAGCTTAGGCAGGTGCAGGGGACCAAGGTTCGATCTCAGGCACCACGTGCTGCACCAGCCCCACCCTCAGGGTGGGCTGAGCTGGCCAAAAAGAGAGAGGGAAAAAAAAAAGTTTGACTAAAAAATGTACTGTAGTTACTGTGGTTTCTACCATATCTTTGTACATTTTAACAGGGCTTCATGGAATGTTTCTGAGTTGTTCTCTGTACCATCAAAATTCTTATACTGCCTCAAGGCTGTAAAAGGCAGAACATACTTTTTTGCGGGGAAGAAGCAAACTATTTAAAAACTTCCACTATGATTTGTAATAAAAAGTCACTTTGTGTAATTTTTATAATAAATACCTATTTTCAAAAAAATGCTAAAAAGCCTCTTGGTTTTGGCAGTCTCATAAAAGTTATTACTGACTATTTTTACCACGGCAATACTATGTGGGAGAAAAATTTCACAGCTATAGAAACAAAGCTGTCTAATCTGGGTAGTTTACTTTTGTATTGTAAAATACCGGAGCAGTGTGTTCAAATTTATACTCTTTGTTAGAAAGCTGATTCCTTCTAGTAAACTAATTTGTTGATGATGGGGAATTTTCTGCAGATAGAAAACTAATTCTAACAACAAAATTACTAGAATATTAGGCAATAAAGGACTTCAGAGATCCTGTTACCTGCTCCTTCTATTTTGGGGGAATGATGCCTGTGGTGAATTTCTAACTGGCGGGCAACTTCTTACACCCAGCTGAATTAAACTAGCATGGTGCTGGGTGCAGGAGGCCCGCCTGAAGGTTGTTGCCAGCAGCATAAAGGCAGAACAGGAGAAGCTGCTGGAATGCCATTAGGGATGCTGTTTGGAGAAGCAGTTGGAGCTGCTGAAAGCTGCTGGTTCTCTTGGGCTGCTCTGCTGGAGGACCTTGTCATGCTGGCTTTCCCAGTGAGCTTTGGGGGAGCTCTGGTCCTCATCTTTTTTTTTTTTTGCGGAACCGGGGATTGAACTCAGGCCCTTGAGCTTGCCAGGCAAGCGCTTATCCTACTGAGCTATCTCCCCAGCCCCTGGTCCTCATCTTGAGCATCACTTCCTGGCTCTGGAGGGGAACCTGGTGCACTGCTCAGCCTCATGGAGAAGCCTGTCACATTGGCTCTCCTGATGGGAACTCGGCTGTCCTCATCACTGTAGGAGCTGAGGATGGCTGTGGTACTTTGGGGGAGTTCTGGTGCTTAACTTGAGCATCGCTTCCTACCTCCAGATCAGATCCCTCAGCCTGCTAGCACAGATCCTTCATCCCACTGGCACAGACTTCCCAGCTTCCACCACTGACCTTTGGGCCTTTCCAGCACAGATCCATGAAGCCAGCCTGCATGAGACTTTGTTGTGGGCTCTAGGCCTCCAGCTGGACTCGTGGGAGGCATTGTTGTGAGCTCAGTTTTCAGCTGGCCTCATGCAGGATATTAAGAGGCTCTCAGCTGGAGTCTTTAGAGTTATGTGTGTGGACAGATTTCTTGCACTTCTTATATATGATGCTTGGCTGATTCATTATAAAACACTATTATAAAATGTGTCCTGGGGGCTGGAGAGATGGCTCAGTGGTCTAAAGCACCTACTTGGAACAGGCTTGGCAAAGCACAGGGACTGCGGTTCGATCCCCCAGCACCACATGCCAGCCAGCCCGCCCCCCTGGTGGGCTGAGCTGGCCGCACACACAATAAATAAATAAATAAATAAATAAATAAATAAATAAATAAATAAAATTTAAAAAAAAAATGTGTCCTGTACTATATTGTTTCCTTTGAAGAAGCCCCAAACCACGACAATGCCTGACTTCCTATCAAAGTGTGCTTTACCCCATCATGATGAGGACATAAGGCACTTACTATCTTCACCTTCTGCCAATGAATTTGTAGAACACTGCTAATGTTATTCCTTATCATGACCTCTTCTTGGAAATTATTAATTTCATACAAACATGTTTTTTTGAGTTACTCATTGAGGCTTTAGACCCACTTGTCATTTATTTCAAACAAAACATTTAAAATCATGAATGCTAGAAATCTCTCCACGGCAGTATTTGTACACAGCATTTCATTTTCTGGCTCGCTCCTTGACGATCTCTAATGCCCATCAGTGACATTCACTAAGTAAGTCCTAGTGTTCCTGGTGCTCCTGTTGTGAAAACAGGGCCTTGCCCTGGAATCCAGCTTCCTGCTGGGTGTCACCTTTGGCAGGACAGTGGCTACCTTTTCCCTCTATGTTGTGGGTCAGTTTGTGCCCTGAAGTGTTGAAGCCCAAACTCCCCAGCACCCTGGAATGCAACTTTATTTGGAGATAGGACCTTTAAAAAGCAATTATGATGAGGCCCTTAGAGTGGGGTCCTACCAAGAGGAGGCCCGGGGCTGAGCGTGTGGCTCAGTGGTAGAAGCACAGGCTCAGCGCATGTGAGGCCCTGGGTTCCAGACCAGGACGTGCAGGCACACCTGCTCAGAGGGAAGCCACATCACTCAGAGCAACCCTCCGCAAGTGCGAGGCCTGGGAAGAAACCAACCCTGCCAACCCTTTTTCCTCCCTTCATAAAAAGGCTACCTCATGTGGGGGAAGAGACTGTCCATGTATCAAAATTCCTTAAAACAGCTAGTCTCCGTTTGTCTCTCTCTCTATATATAAATACATCAGCAAGTCTAGGACTGGGGGTCAGGAGAAATGATTTCAGGGACAGGGTTTGGAGATTTTTCTTTGATGTGATGGTTGATACATTGTGTCAGTTTGATGACATGGTTTGTTTTCTTTTTGCAGTACCAGGGATTGAACTCAGGACCCCATGCTTGCAAGGCAAGCATTTATTCTACTGAGCTATCTCTCCAGGCCCCATTGTGTCCGTTTGAGAAGTTTAGTTTAACTAAGCTACTCAGTGAGCAGGAAGCCAGGGTCTGTTCTTTGTCCTGTGCAAGAAGAGAACAAGGGGGTGGTGTGAGTGCCAGCCCTGGCCCTAGGGCAGGTGGCCTGCTTACAGTATAAGGGAGGAAAAGAGGCTCGCTCTTTCCCGCTTCATTCTTGCTGCTTTTGCTGTCCTCTGATGCCTTGAGCTCCACCCCTGTGACATGCCACCCTGCTAGGGAGCCAGCTGATTATGGAGTGAAACCTCCACTAACTGAGCTAAGTAAACTTCTCTCCTTCTGGGTGTCAGATACTTTGTCTCAGTGACAAGAGAAAAGTAACTTGACCAAGGAGAAGCTCTCCTACGCTTATTAAAGCCTGAAGTTTTCCTCAACACAAGACAGACTTCTGTTCCACAAATACAATGACTTCACTCTCCTTCCATACCAGATTTCTCTTCTGAATTTCTTCAGTGATACGTACTACGTATTTACTTCGTCTCCACGGAGATGCTTTCGCTCTTGTGTTTTACACAGGTCTAGAGTCTTGCATGAAGTAGGAGCCAGCATGTACGTTAGGGCACGTCGGCACATGTGATAGGGCATATCAAATAACTTCTAACAACTTAAAGAGAAAAATAAGCGCTAAGCACTTGACCACACTGTCACCTGAGACAAGGAGCAGACAGATTACTATTTTAAAGCCCTGTTCCTCCTCCACTGTACATAAAAATAAAAGCAAAGTGCTGAGGTTTAGGGGTTATAGCAACCACAACAGAGACCAATAACCAGTTTGCTTCCTTGTCGGTTTTGTGTGTGTTTGTGTGTGTGTGTGTGTGTGTGTGCGGTGCTAGGGCTTGAACCCAGCGGTGCTCCACCCGAGCTATATTCCCAGCTCTTCTTGAGACAAAGTACTGCCAAGTTGCCTAGGATGGCCTTCAACTTGTGACCCTCTCGCCTTAGCCTCCTTAGCGCTGGGTGCCTAGCTTCCTCTGTAGTTTTATAGGAATCCCAAGTGTAGTCTTCCTATGTTTACTGCTTGGGAAATACAGCCTGTTTCCATGTTGGCACGCTGTATTCTGGTTATAATGCTATCGCGCGCGGCCTTGCCAGCAAGGAAGACGCGACCACTGGTTGTGTCTGCGCAGCTTTTATTGCCCTGTTACATTTCTCTTCCCTCTCCCCGAGGCCCCTGCTCTTAGCTTATAAGTCTCAGGGCTTCCAATCATGGGGCGCCACGTGTGTACCATCCATTGGTTCAGGTACGCGGAAGCAATGCATTAGCCCAAGCCTTGGCCTTTTATAGAGTTGTTGATTACCAGGAGCGCTCACCCCCTGAGAGGGTGGAAGGCGGAAACCGGCGCCATCCTAGGGCACGGCTACACGGCTACACGCAGCTCCCTACATAATGCTACCCTATTACTATATGCTGAAAGTGTTGTTTGCTTGGTTTAGTGCTTTTTGTTTATTTGGGGGAAAATATTGCAAAGGGTGTCATTAACTTTAAAAAGTCCAAGGTGCAGTACCAAGGTACACAGTAGGGCTTCAATTGTGTGTGCATACATATTTAAAAGCAACTCTTTATAGATGGGGACTCACAAGAGGCTTACAGAGACCTCTGAGAAGGCAGAGGTTACGAGAAGATGCTATCCTGAGTTGTGAGTTTTTTTATTTTTAGGGAAGGGTCTACAGGTGTTCAGGGTCTCACTACTAGATCAGACTCACTACTAGATCGGACACATAGTGATCCGCCTGTTCACAGCCTCCCAAGAGCTGGGATTACAGGCACATGCCACCAGGCCCAATCTCCATTGCCATCTCAGTGCGTCCTGGGGGCGGTACTAGCACGGCAGGCCTGGGGATTGAATCCCTGGCCCCTGCCCATGCTTGCTGGTGCTTTAATCCACTGAGCTATTTGGCCGGCCCCTATGAATTGTTTTTAATTTTTAATGTTTGGTACAGGGTCTCGCTACGCATCTTGGACTCATCGTGATCCTCCTGTCTTCAGCCTCCTCACTGTTGGAATTACAGGCACCACCACACTCAGACTCAGTTGCTGGCTCAGTGCCAGCGGGTGGGGCCAGCCTGGCACATAGTGCCAGGGATCAAACCCAGGTCCCTGCACTTGCCTAGACAGGTGCTTAGTTCACTG